CAATCGCCTGCCGATCGAGTCACGGCACCAAATGATAGGATTATTTCCAAAAGATGAAAAATATTTCCAAAAGATGAGAAGAATAAAACAAAAAGCAGCCTTTATTCTGAGAACACAGAGAGTGATGGCTGGTACCCCCCACCGCTGGCGTCAGGCAATCTCTCCAGTGGACACGTGGCGTGGGGGTATATAAGTAGCCTCGGTTTGGGGTGGAACCTAAGGCAGGCATTAGGGATGCACAGGTAGCCCATTGGTCCTAGGTTTCCCGCCATAGGTAAATTCCCAGATGGCGTCACAGGTAAATTCCTAGGGGCGGGGGAGATAGGGGCTTCCTGCTTCTGGTTGAGGCTTTCCTGGCTACAGTGTCCTGTCTGGGCCAAAACCCTTTCATTATCCACCTTTTTTTCCATCGCTAAGACAAAATACCTAACATTTGAAGTTAAAGGAGGAAAAGTTTATTTGGCTCACAGCTTGTAGAAGTTTTAGTTCATAGTTGGCTGGCTCCAAGGCAGCATGACATGGCAGATGAGAAACAGTCCATGGCAAAGTGGGGCAGGCAGAAGGCAGCCAACGGCAAGCAACAAGTCGCAATCTTCTTTCAGTCCCTTATATTTCATCCAGGTACCCGTCCTTAGAGGTGAGTAGCCCGCACACCCAGTGTGGGGCACCCTTAATCCTACCAAGAACTATACCAAGTCAATTGGTGGACTAATTTAATAATCACACATCCTTGATCCCAGCATCACACACTTTAGATCCAGTCACCTCTGAGAAGCCCCACCTATGACTGCATGCGGCTTTGGGGGACATCTAGACACAAGCCATAACATGAGGGATTGAATTAAAGACCTTTACACTGAGCTACATCCCCAGCCCTTTCTATTTTTCATTTTGACACAGATTCTCACTACATTGCTAAATTGCCCAAGCTGGGTTTGAACTTTTGATCTCCTGGCTCAGACTCCCAGAGTTCTGGGATTACAGGTGTGAGCTACCACATCCATCAGTTTGAAAGTTGCTAATGTGATTTTGCTTTTGCCTGGCTGCTCTGAGACATACACTTGAATGAAAGGAAAGTGGGATTTACTGCAGAGAGAATCCAAAGAGAAAGAAAAGGTAATATAATTTTTTGGGAAAAAATTCCTTACGAGGTAGGCTGGTTTGTTGACTAATGATTGTTTGACTTAAGAGTTTTTTTCTTTTTACAACTGTGCAAAAGCACATCTACTCACCCATTCTATTTTCTGCATTCAGCACAGTATTCACTGAATTACATGAGGTATACAATGATAAGCTAGGTGTTGCGTTGGATGGTTTTGCCATACTGAAGGCTGATATAAGTGTGTAGAGCACCTTCAAGGCAGGCTAGAAGAAGCGGTGATATTCTGAAGTCAGTGCTATTAAATGCATTCCCAGTTTCTAATGGTTCAACTAACAATAGGCTTTTCTGGGTGAAATGTCATTGTGACCCAAGGAACATCTGCATTAGTCTTCTCCAATGCCCAGTATAATTAGATTGGATTCAGCTACTTTAATAAATACAAGAAATTAGTGGGCCAGGATGCTGGCTCATGCCTGGAGTTTCTGCCATGCAAGGTGTGGAGTGTGATGCTGGTGCCACTAGTGATAAAAAGAATTTACTGATAGGCTAAGGCTATAGAAAAGTTATTGATCGGAGAGCAGTGGGAGAGTCTGAGATGCCCATGTTGTCAGGGTGAGAGGATGAGATTTTTACATTCGATTTTACTGTGAGGAGGACATCTGTGGCCTGGAGTTGGGTATATTTGTGTGGTCACCTCATGTAGGTGATATAAGATGTGCATTCTATTGTTGGGATACCCATCTGGGGGGCTAGGTTAGACTCCCCACATATATCTGTGTTTGAAGTGAGATCTGCAGCCTAATAATGTCACTACTTCCTTGAGAATGGGCGTCTTTAGGAGGGAGGCTGACTTACAAGGGAAAGGCACAGGGACTCCATTTAATTTCCCTTGTCTCCTTTATACCTCTTTTCTATACTATCTGAGCTCTACTCCACAGTTTCAGATGGCTGCCACAGTCCTCACCATCACATCCTCATACCCATTGGGCAGGAAAAATGGAAAGCACGACTCAGACACAATCAGAATTGTACATGCTACTTCCCTTCTTATCTCATAAACCAGAACTTATTCTCATAGCTTTTCTGAGCTTTGTGGACTGCTGGCATGACAGCCACATAATCACCTAAAATGTGGGGTTTCTATATCCAAAAACAAGGAGAGGGAATCATTAGCAGTTCTGGGGAGCAGGCAAAGTCCGCTCACCTGCCTCCTGCCTGTGGCCCCCAGGGCACTGTGGGACTTGGAGTGGGAGGGGTAGAAGAAGGGAGAGGGAAAGGAAGAGGGAGAGGTCATAGTGGGACAAAGGCAGGAGGTAGAGGCCATGGCTGACAGGCAGTAAGGAGGTCACTGCAATAGGAAACCAGAGGCCCAGGTTGCTGGTGGCCCCAAGTGGTCAGGCAGGGAAGGTCCAAATGTAATCAGCAAGGCAAAATGGAATTTGAGACATTGGTTTTATTTCCTCTTCTACAAATGCCTTCTGCCTAGCATACAACCATAACTACCCTGCCCTCTTCTCCTCGACTTAAATAAATAAAAAAAAATGTGGAGATACTGTCCCGGGTGGTGGTGGGGGTCAGGGTCCTGGTGAGGTGAAATAAACCTGGTGTTCTACAGTCATCACATTGTATGCCTTCTGTCCTTTGCTACAAAAGTGCCTTGTACGCTTGGGCATAGGGAGATGGAAATTTGAGGCCAATGAGATCCTTTCATTTCCTTGGCGCAAGCCAAAGTCCTTTGAATGACTTTGCCCAACGAGAGTAAATATCCTCCTTTGGTTTGGTCAGCAGTGAGCAAATGGACCCATGTGGTTAGTTATGCCAAAGCTCAGCTGTCCAAAACCACCTGGTGTCCTGCCCTGGTTGTGGGCAGAGCCCAGGAGCAATTAGGAGTCCACCAGGACTTGGTTTTGTGGCAGGAGGAGTAGTGTAGATTCACAGGACTGACAGATTTACCCATTACATACACAGGATCCTAGTTCAGTCTGAATTTTAGATAAACAAGGAATACATTTTTTAGAGTAAGCATGTCTGCATTCCATTCATCATTTATTTGGAATTCAAATGGGACTGGGTGTTCTGTATTTTATCTGGAAATCCTACAAACCTGGGGTTGTTAGGGGCTCATCCAGGTCTCAGGGGAGTCTGGAGCTCCAGTAGGAACCAGTGCAAGCTCAAGGCAGACATAGGGACCTCCAGGCTTGGTCTGCTCCCCAGAGACACAAGGAGCCACAGGGACCATGCAGAGATCACAAAATCCCACTGTTCTCTGTGTAGGATGACCTTCCTTTTTCTGCTCCCCAAGACCCGAAGCCAGCTCTCTGGAAAGAAGCTGAGGAGACGGGAAATAAGGGAAGCCCAGTGTGTTTTCGCCGAAAGACTGAGCATTACTCAGGTAGCCTTTAGATTATACCTTGAACTGTGTTTCACCTGGGTAGAATGAAGGCAAGAAATCACTTCTTTTTACTGCTGAGCTATAGGTGAGGGCTCAGAAACTTCTAGTTCAATACAGAACAAATTACGACTGAGCACTTGAGATTGAGCACCTGGGACTGAGAAGGGTGACCCAGTTACCCTTTCACTGAAATTGTTCCAGGCCTGAAGTCCTACGAAGAGCCCCTGGGGTTTGGGGTCTGCGTCCTGTCAACTTTGCTCTCCCTGTGAGTCACCACCTCTTGCTCCCATCGTCTCTGCCTGACCAGCCGGGCTGCCCCAAATCTAGGCCAGTATTCAACCGTTTTAGTCATCCTCCCCACCCTAGACGTTTATGGAGGCTTGGGACCTCGTAAAGCTAGAGTCTGCAATGATAATAAACAGGTCAAGTTAGCTTGGCTTGGGGTAGGATTGTGGCCCAGCCTGGAAGCTGTCAGCACCAGGGGAGGCCCTTCTCTCCAATGTCCTCACAGCTCAGAACGAGGTGGCCGCATTCCTGGAGGTGCCCCCTGCACACTTAGCATGCAGGTGCTAGAAAGACTGTCAGTGGACAACTACCGCGCCACAAACAGATTCTTGGCTTCCCCTGTCCACAGCTGTCTGTGGGATGTAAGGAGCTGCGAGGTGTGGACCATCTCTTCTGTAGGGGACCTTCCTGGCCCAGCTCTGGGGAGCCTTCTCTACCTCCACTTACCTATTACTTTCCAGATTCTTCCATAGGTGGGACCCTTTTAAAAAGTCGTTTCTGAATTGGTTGTAACACCTGTCTTGTCCCTTTGCAGGTTAAGGAGTAGAATACAATCTAACGTTTGTTGGTATTTCTATGGGTATGAGAAGAAAAATTTGATCATTTTCTGAAAATTAACCTGATGGGGTTAGGAGGACTGGGTTAAAAATCTAATTTCTACCACATATTGACTTTCAGTCTGGCAGGTCACTTCACCGCTGCCTCAGCTTGCACCAACAGCGGAGACTTGAGACTATAACAAAAAACGGACAGCTCTGCAACCCCAGAGCCAAGGACCTAGGCCCGGCCTCAGGCCCGGCCCCAGTGCCTCTCTGGCAGCGTAAGCCCCGCCCCTCTCCGACCACGCCCCAATCATCTCCTGCCCCGCCACAATCTCCGCCCCTCTCCGGCCCCGCCCCAGCCCTGCTCTAGCTACATAATACCCGCCCGCATGCCAGTCGCAAATCAGAGTGGGGCTGCCTCATTGCGCGCTCCTTATTGGCTGCGCGCTCAGTGGGTCGGGCCCGGAGCTGTGATTGGTTGTCCGGGCCGGTGACGTATAACCCGAGTGGCCAGCGTGCTCTGGACGGTGATGGAGGACGCGGCGGTACTCACCCGAGCGGCTGCGCGGCGGCGGGGACTGGCAGCCAAGGAGTCTGGGGCACTAGAGAAGACGGGGCGGCGACTGAATCAGCGGCGGCCGCGGCGTAGGTGAGGACGTGAGGCGAGGGACGTGGGCGTGTCCTGGACCGGGGTTGCCAGCGGAGCGCCGGGTGCTCGCTTTCCGTGTGCCGTGCAGGGACAGTAGCTGGCTCCCCACGCCTGTCCGCCCGAATTCCGCTCACTGCAGCAAGCCAGCCAGGGGCCCTTCCCTGTTCTGAAGTGGGGCGGAACCCCGAGGTCCGGGATCGCCGTAGCCGTGGCATACGCGAGCTCGCAGCGAAGTATTTGACCCCTTTTCGAAGAGTGACCTCTGACCGCAGTCGGTAGGGAAGAGAACACCACCAGGTGGAGAACGAGAGGGTGGACATCCAGCTAGGAGGAGCAGAATGGGTACAAAGACCGAAAGGGACAGACGTGTCCTTGGACCCAAGCCTGTCCCCTTTGGGAGCATTTGCCACAGCAGGCTACGGGGGAACGTGGCAGCGCTAGGTTTGTTTCCAAATTCAAAGCAATGAGACTGGTTGGCCCTGCAGACTGCATGATGGTGAGCTGCTGATGGGGGACTGGTGTTCTGGGGTAGGAAGAATTGCCATGGCTCTTTCCCGCCTTCCGGAGGAATAACCTTTAGCGGCACAGGTGACCCGGTGTGGGCAGGATTGGTCTGAGAAAACCTTGGAGGGGCAAAGAAAAGAGTAAAGAAATTAGGAAGGAGTCTCAGGAAGAGGAGGGTGGGAGGATGAAAAGAAGCCTTTCTGTGGCATCTCCACTTCGCTCTGCCCTACTTCCCACCTACCCACTGTCTCCCTCTTTGGACCAGTTCGGGTTCCCAGTCTCCGAAGTGCTGGGGGATGGCAGACACTTCGGAGGAGCCCTGCCAGCATCCCTCTGTGGATTTGCAGAGCAGGCAGGTGGTACCCAGTTGGTAAAGAGCAGCCTGAGGTATTGGAAAACATAGAGAGACCTTGAGCTTTGATGCCTGTGGTCCCCAAGTGGCTCCAGCAGTGTCTTTTCACTGTTTTTAAAATAATTGCTTTTAAAGCCAGCTGTGGTGGCACAAGACTGTAATGCTAGCACTGTGGGAGGCTGATACAGGAGGACTGAGCGTTTGAGACCAGAGCTTGGAGAGATTGTGTTTCAAAAAATACATAAATAAACAAACAAAACAGCTGGGAAGAGCCAGGCATGGTGGCTCACACCTGTAATCCCAGCACTTGAGAGGCCGACACAAGAGGATCATTGTGAGTTTGAGACCAGCCTGGGCTACAAAGTGAGCTCAAGGCCAGCCTGAACTGCATAGAGACACTGTCTCAAGATAAAAAACAAAGCCAAAAAACAAGTAAACAAACAAAAAAGGGCTGGGAATGGAACTTGGTAAGAAGGCCTCAGATTCAATCCTCAGTACTGTCACCCTCCAGATAACGCTATGTGATTTAGAATTCTTCAGGATTTCCCAGCTTAATGCACTAAAGGTACTGTTTCCCCCTGTTACCTATCCATGAATACTGCAAGGCTAGTGTTTTGTGGTTATGTGTAGGGGAACATGGGCTGGAGAGGAAGTCTGGCCCATGTTTTTAGGACCTTACGTTTGTGGTTGTGAGTGCTTTGACTAGTCCATCTCTCCTGGTGAGAGCAAAACATGTGGGCTGTGAAGTACGCTTCTTTGTTTTGGGGCATGTGCTTGGGCTGTGTTGGGGCAGGAGTTTATCCTGAGTGCTGGAAGGGCATAAGGTAGGGCTGGTCACTAACACAGGGCACTGGAGTGACCCATGTTCCTGAGTTTCTCTGTTTCGATGCATGCTGCTGTAGTATCCTATAGGTAATACAAGCCATGTCTAGGTGGCTCCTACCTATTTGCTTCCAAGTGTATTTTATGCTCTTGTTTAATTTTTAAAAAAACTCTTTGCTTAGAATCAAAGAAGATGCAGAAGAAGAAGCAACAGTCTTTCGAGAAGTGGTCAATTTTAATCCAGATCCTTTGCCAGGTGAGAGGATGGGGGCTCCAAATACTGTTTGCACGTCCACTCTCAGGGTTCTGTGTAGAGCAGGCCTCTACCCCTTCTCAGTTCTATCGGTTGTTATCAAAGCATTTCTATGAATCCTGTAATTTCTACTAATTCCTCACTGTCTCCCTCCTTGGACCAGTTAGATATTATGATAAGGAGACCACCAAGCCTATCAGCTTCTACTTGTCTTCACTGGAGGAGCTTCTGGCCTGGACGCCCCTCATGGAGGACAGCTTCAATGTGGCCCTGCAGCCCTTAGAGTGTCGCCAACCCCCACTGAGCAGCCACAGGCCGAGGACCCTGCTGTGCCATGACATGATGGGTGGCTACCTGGAAGATAGGTGAGGACACGTCAGACATTGATCTCTTTGCTGGCTATCCTGGGGGGAACGAAGAGGAGACAGGACAGTGCCTGGTGATAGAAAGCTTCAAGTTGGCATCAGGAGACTGAGGATTCTTGACTGGGCTCTGCCACTGTCTGAGAGAGGGACTCAGGCTTTAATCTGGCTGCACCCATGAGGAGTGCAGAGTGGTCTCCATCTTAGCGCCAGGGTCACGGAGCTTGACATCTGCTTTGTTGGCCCTGACTCTGGTATACAGCGCCCTTAGAGACTCCCTTCCCCACCCAGCTCTGCACATTCCCTCCAAAGTGGCATTTTCTTTTTTAGATAGTACTGGGGATTGAACTCAGAACCTTTGCACTCACCTGCATTACCAGCTATACTTCATCTTGTGTTTTGAGTCAGGGTCTGTAAGCCTGGGCCACTAAGTTGCTAAGTGGCCCAGGCTGGGCCTGAACTTATGATCATCCTGGAGTCTTAACTGTCCATAAAACAACCTTGGTTGTGATTGATAGGAAGGCCGAGTCAGAGATGACCTACAAGGTTGGGGATGAGCTGGCCTGACAAAGAAGACTGTTAACTAAGGCTACCTTGGGACCACTGCTGCCTTCTGTGCAGAGTGGAAGCCAGAGTCCTGGGGCTGGCACACATGCCTGTCTGTCTCTGCCTTCTGTCAGAGCTCAGTGCATGCGGATGCAGCACAGATGCCTGCTGCTTGGGTGAACGTGGTTCCCTCCGGACCACTCAGGAGTGAGAGCCATAATTTGTGCCTCCTGTGCAGGGAACTGTACATGGCAGGTTCCTGGCTAGAATCCACTGAACAGAACAAAAAGGACCCTTCTCGGGCTCTGGGGCTGCTCTGTCTCGCGCAATCACTGTGTCCTTCTTCTGTCTCCTGGGCCTTGACCTTGTACTGTTTCCCCACCCAGGTTTATTCAGGGCTCAGCGGTGCAGAACCCTTACTCTTTCTACCACTGGCAGTACATCGACATCTTCGTGTATTTTAGCCACCACATGGTCACCATTCCTCCAGTGGGCTGGACCAACGCTGCCCACAGGCACGGGGTCTGCGTGCTTGGTAAGGAACTCTGCTCCTCAGTGAGTGGGATCCCACCTTGGGGCCATGCAGTTTCCTGGAGAGGACCCGATAGCAGATAATTTTCAGCGTTGTAGGCCATGGTCACTATGGTAATGCTTAACAGGAAAGGAACCATGATGACAGGTCAGTGATGACCAGGCAGTGTCCCAGTTAAGCATCACTCACACATGCAAGGTGGCTAGATTTGGTGACCTTAGGCCCTGGGTCTACTGACCCCTCCTGTGTCATCACAGTACCTCTCTAGGTCTGGCCTGAGTCCAGACTGTTTGTGGGCCTCCACGACCCCACTGCTGGGCCTGGGCTAGAGTGTCCGAGTCACCAGGTGTGTGGGGGCCAAGGCAAGGGTCAGGATGTGTAGCAAACTTCCTAGTGGCACTGATGCTGCCCATCCAATGGCCACACTTTGTAGGCCTCTAGGTTGGAGGCAGCACCAGCCAGGTGGCTGACCTCAGGCCCCACTGTCTTGCAGGGACATTCATCACGGAGTGGACCGATGGGGCAAAGCTGTGTGAAGCTTTCCTGGCTGGGGACTCACGCTCCTATCAGACAGTGGCCGATCAGCTGGTCCAGATTGCCCAGTTTTTTCATTTTGATGGCTGGCTGATCAATATCGAGAACTCTCTGAGTGTAAGCTTGCCTCTGTGCTGGTGTCTGCCCTCCCCCAGCCCGTTCACTCAGCCCGCTCCTGGGAAGAGCCAGCTGTGCCCCCTGGGTGACCTGGTAGCCAGGCGAGTCTTCCCTGCTGTTTCTGGAACTTGCTGGGCCACACTGTGCTTCGCTGCTGCTTCAGCATAACCACGCCTTTCCTCCTCCGCCTTGCTGCTTCCTGTCCACGGTCACCCTGTCCTTGCACTGCATTTTATCTTTTCCTGACTTCTTGTCCAACACAGGGGCAAGTTACACATCTCAGGGCTTAGGGTGAGGGGCACCGGGGACCAGGGTTCCTGTGGGCCTCACCTCGCCTCACCCTGCCCGAGGTCTGATTTTCCTCCGTCTCCCCCAGGCAGTCGCTGTACAGAACATGCCCGTTTTCCTGCGGTATCTGACTGCTCAGCTCCATCAGCGAGTCCCAGGGGGTCTGGTGCTCTGGTATGATAGTGTGACACAGAGCGGACAGCTCAAGTGGCAGGATGAACTCAATGAGCACAATCGGTGAGCCCTGGGTGCGACTAGGAGAGGTGCTGGCCGGACCCCCGGGGTGTCCCGTGTCAGCCTGCTTCAGGTAGAAAGTGGGGTCCGGGTGTCTTCCAGGGTCCTGATGGTCAGCAGTCCTAACAGTGCCTGGTCTCCCTGGCGGGGTGCTGAGGCTGCGGGTGACTCCTTATGGCTGGTCCCTGTTCTGGGAGCAAGCTGTAGCCCAGGGCCACTGCTGTCCTGAGCAGAGAGGGGCTGTGAGCAGTGAGAACCTCCGCTGTGGGTGGGCTCGCAGTCCTGCCACGCCTGGGCCTCAGCAGCTCCGTCACCTCTCAGGGTCTTCTTCGAGTCCTGTGATGGCTTCTTCACCAACTATAACTGGAAGGAGGAGCACCTGGAGCGGATGCTGGGGCAGGCCGGGGAGCGCCTGGTCGATGTGTATGTGGGCGTGGATGTGTTTGCTCGGGGGAACGTGGTCGGAGGCCGGTTTGACACAGACAAGGTAGGTTGGAACTTGCTGGGCTGCCTCCTTTCCTTGGTGATGATCTGTTCTCTGTGCCTCAAGGGAAAGAACTGTAGTAGCTGATTTTCCCAGAGTGGAGAAACTGAGGCACGGAGGGACATTTGTTTGAGACTAACGTGACCCCATGAAAGGCCTTTGACTGAGCTTCAGCCCTAGCTCTTTTTGCATTTTTTTATTTTGAGAGAAGTTCTCACTGAGTCATGTTGCCTAGGCTGAGTTTGAACTTGCAATCTTCCTGCTTCAGCCTCCCAGAGTTTTGAGATTAAGGTATGCACCACTGAGCATGGCTACAGATGAATGTTTTCATCTGGTGTTGGTAAACAGAAGTGGCCTGTTCCTGTGCCTGCCCTGAATTCTTGTCTGGACTGTGGAGCTTGAACTTACCTGCTGCACTCCAGGTAGATGTAGGGCCTGCAGGTGGGCCTGCGGTGCCTCTCCTGGCAGCCCAGGGCCAGGGCCAGAGGTAGAGTATCACAGCTGGAGACCTGTACCTGCAGTGATGAGTGCTGTTCCCGGATGAGGCAGTGAGGCTGGAGGCCACCAGGCAGTACCCCTGCGTGGGAACGGCAGGTGCTGTCCGCTGCCTGTCAGTGCCGCCCCTTCTGGGGCAGCAGGTGTGTGCTTAGTGAAAACACCAAGGAGATATATGCATCTATTTTATATATAATTTTATATATTTTGGCATTTTTTATATAAATTTTTTGGTGTCAGCTGGGGATTTAGTTCAGCTGCATAAGCACCTGCCCCCAAGCACGAGGTTGTGAATTTAATCTCTGGTACCAAAAAACAAAAAAAATTGGAAAACAAAATAAACTTGTTGGTATCTTTTTGGGTCCTTGGCACTGAGCTACATTCCCAGCAGCAGTACTCCCCTGTCTTTGTGAGATTCTGCTCACAATCTGCCCAGGCTGGGTTTGAATTCGAGATCCTCCTACCCCAGCCCCCCAGGATGCTGGGATTATAGGTGTGTAGCACCACACAGCTGGAGAATTTATCCCCTCTGATTCTTTTTTTTTTTTGTCTTTTTCTTTTTTATCGGTAGCGGGGGTCAAACTTACGACTGCCTGCTTGCAAGGCAGGCGCTTATGCCGCTGAGCTAAATCCCCAGCCCCCAGCCCCTCCGATTCTAATCTTGAGATGAGTGGTGTATGAGAGAGGGGGTGCGGAGCAGGAGAGCCACACTGTGCCGGTGCCCAGAGGCCTGCACCCTCTCCTGCAGGCCTTCCTCCTGCATCCTCTCTAGCACCCACCACTGGCTGGTGTGCTCCGAGACTGGCTGGGTGTAGACAGTCGGGTCAGCCTTGCTGATCTGGCTGAGAGGCTTGGCACGTGATCTGGCCATGTGCCATGCAGGGGGCCAGTGTGGCTGATGCCAGCATCTCCCTGACTTCTGTCCCCAGTCGCTGGAACTGATCCGAAAGCACGGCTTCTCTGCAGCTCTCTTTGCCCCTGGCTGGGTGTACGAGTGCCTGGAGAAGAGCAGCTTCTTCCAGAACCAGGACAAGTGAGTCCTGCAGCGTGCCGGTGGCTACGAGGATGAGGGTAGTGGTGGGCTACCTCAGCCGCTCCCAGCTGGGAGGAAGGAGCAGCTGGGGACTCGTCTGCAGTGGGAATGCCTGTCTCGGGAGTGCAGGAGAAGCTCCGGTTCCAGTTGTGGGCGTGAGCACGTTAAAGGCCACTTTACTATTGACTGAGCCATGACCTCCCTGTGTCCCTGGCAGGTTCTGGAATCTGCTGGAACGTTACCTGCCCACACACAGCATCTGTTCCCTGCCCTTCGTCACATCCTTCTGCCTGGGCATGGGCACGCGAAGGGTCTGCTATGGACAGGTGTGTGTGTGTGACCACTGTGCTGCATGGACAGGACAGGGCAGGGGAGGGGCTCTTTTCATGTCTGATGCCTGCCCTCAGCTGGGCTGGGTGGGAGGGAGCCATAGGGTGTGAGTAGGAGGGTCAGTGGCCTTTCCTGTCCCTATTTCTCACCTGCTCTGTTTGCCACCACAAAGGAGGCCTCACTCCTAACTGTCAGACTTTGTCCTCTCCTTCAGGAGCAGGCTGTGGGGCCTTGGTACCACCCGAGTGCCCAGGAAACACAGCCCCTGTTTGGAGAACACAAGCTGCCCGGTGACAACCGGGGCTGGGTGAAGGTGCACTGCTGCCTGGCAGACTCCTGGCATGGGGGCAGCTCGCTGCTGCTGGAGGGGGTGATCCCACCTGAGGTGGGCAACATAGCCGTGAGGTGCGTGAATGATGTGGCAGGGGCTGCCAGGGTCTCCCTTGTGGTCAGCCACAAAAAGGCAGTAGAGTAGAAGAGGACAGAAGTCGGAACCCAGGTTTTAAAAAATCATGGTAAAAAACACTTTGAAAGGGTTCTGAAGTGTGCAGGCAGCAGTACCAGCTGTGTGTGGTGTCATGCAGGAGGTCTCCAGAGCTTTGTCATTTCAAAACTAAAACCAGCCCTGAGCAACACCCCTGTTTCCAGTCCTGGAAGCACCCTTGTTTCTGTTTCTGAGAGTGATGCCCCAGACAGCGAGGAGGTGTGTCCGAACCACACCTCCGGCCTGCAGGAGAATCTGACCCCTGGGCAGTTGGGCCAATGTGGAGCTTTTGCCTCCAGACCTCCTGTCCCTGGCAGAGTAGGGTCGAGCTGCTTGCTTCAGAGCAGGCGCCAGTGTCTCTCCTGATCCTCCCTGGCCTCTCACAGGGTCTTCCTCCTCCAGGTTGTTTTCCTTACAGGTCCCATTACCACACAAAGTCTTCCTGTCCTTGGTATATAAGCTTGAAGGGCCCACAGATGTCATGGTCGCCTTGGAACTCACTACTGGGGATGCCAGCAGCTGTCACATTGGCAGCATCTCGTCGCTGAATGGTGAGGAGCTGGCTGTGGGCGGATCTCCAGGAAGGGAAGTCTAGAAAGAGGTGCAGGTGGGGAGGTGCAGGTGTAGGCGCATCCTGCCTTGGTGGGAGCTGTGGCAACCTGTGGTCCAGGCCTGGACATGGGACTCACTTGAGAGCCAGAACCTGTGTCCTCTGGGCCTGCTGGGCATCAGCAGCCTCCTAGGCAGACAGGATGTGGACTTCCTGCTGGCCAGGGCATTTTGAGGGACAGCCAGAGGGGAAGGGAGATAGCAAGTTGGGAAGAACTGGGTGAGTGAGCCTGGCCAAGCCCAGATCTGGGCCGCATTTATCTTCCTTCAAGCCCTTTCTGGTGACACCCGAGCATCTGCTCCAGGGTTTGACCTGGACCCCGGTTTTGTCTGTCAAGGACACATCCCAGTCCCCCTGCCCCTGGGGCCATATTTTTTTCTTTGTGGTCTCTTTTCTCAAGCCCATGTCTCCCCTTCTAGCAGAAACAGGTTCAAGGCACAGACCCCGACCCCTCCGGGTGCCCCCCACCAAACTGGCCAGATGGGCAGGCCGCTGTGGCCAGCAGCTCAGTGGGGGCTGGATCCAGCGGTGAGTGTCTCTACTTGTGCCGAGCCCAGGAGGGAGTAGCCATGCACAGGGGGTACTGAGGAAGTGTCCCCTGCCAAGAATCCCCAGGGCCAGAGGAATGGAGATGCTGTGGGCTGACCATCTAGGTTGGGGCAGCACTTGAGCAAGCCCAGGCCACTTCCTGGGGACACTCAGAATCCCTGTGGGGAACTTTCCAGGGTCCCTACAACCTGTAGTACACTGGGGCAGTCTTCCCTTTCACTGTGGCTGGGGACCTCTGGACTTGGTGCCTCTGTGCTGAGCCAGCCTGTGACCAGCTGTGTGCCTCTCCCAGGTGCTATGAGGTGAACATGCGTGGGTGCCTCCTACGAGACCTCTTTGTGAACTTGTCACGGCCACCAGGCAGTCAGGAGGCGGAGAGCTTCATTTGTCGCCTGGGAGAGATCCAGGTGTGCAGCTGGGAGGGGCAGCATCTCCTGTCGGAGGGAGCAGAGGGTCCCGAAGGAGTGGGGTGGTGGAGCTGGAGTGGTGGTGCAGGGTGGGGTGCCCTTAGCCTCCCCAAGTGTCAACTGTCCGGGCCTTCTCTCTTGCCAGGTGGTGGATGCCAATAGCCTGCTGGCCCCGCTGCCCCAAGTGCAGGGCGTCACTGTTACCCAGGTCCGCTGGCAGCAGCCCAGCTCTGAGGTGGAGGCGCCCTCGGGCCACCTGAGGCTCAGCTGTACCCTGCACTGGTCCTACCTCCTCCTCCAAGCCCGCTGCTTTAGAATATACTGCTCAGAAAGGAGGAGAGGCCGCTCTGCAAGCAGGGGACTGCCAGGGCCAGAGAAGCCCATGTTCCTGGGCCTGGCTTTTGTCAACCAGTACCGTGTGGTGGACTTGATGGTAGAGGCTGCTGGGCCCAGCCAAGAGGGCCACGTGGAGTTCCTGGTGGAGCCTGTCCCCAGGGAGGGCTTCCAGGTCCCACAGGCCGAGTGGGGCAGGGCAGCCCTGCTATACTCCGCACCTCCTTGAGCCAACACTCCTCGCCCGAGTCTCAGGTTGTCTCTCGGCCTCTCTGGGATCCTGCTAAGCAGTGCCAGGTGTCAAGAAGGCTGGGTCCCCAGGATGAAGGCAGTTTGCTGAATGATGGTCCCACGAGGCACACAGGCCTCGTGTCTGCATGTAACCCTCTCCACGGTGTGTGGTTCGGAGGGAAACGGAAACAGATGTGGGAGGTTTGGTCCAGAAGACTCCATAAAGGATATTTTCAAACAGGTTGAAAGATGTTGATGCTGAAATCCGTGACCTTCTATTCCTGTAGATCACACAGTTAGAGCTGAGTGTAAACCAGGGAGGAAGGCTTTGGGGTAGAGCTGGGGCCTTCAGAGCATCTCTGAGCACTGGGATGCAGTGGCCCTAAGGGCAGGCAGAACAGGGAGGGGGGCTGCCAGAGTGGCCGATGGTGCCTTGGAGCTCTGGAGGAGAGCTCTGGGCCAGGCTGGCACCACATCACACGCTCCTGAGCACTGTGGGTCTGGACCACGTCTGGTGCTTGCTGGCTCTGGCAGTTAACTGTCCCCATAGCTGACGTCCCCTTGTCTGCTGCAACTCAGGGTGCGGACTCACGGTGCAGCCTGCCCCTGTCGCAGCCTACTTGCCCTGCAGCCCCCTCGACAGTGCTGGGCAGGGGGAAGCTTGCCCAGGGGAAGGCCATGAGTTATGCTGCTACATTGTCCCTGCTCCCCCTTCACGGAGACGCAGCCACAGGGGGTCTATCACAGTCCTGCACAGGGTCAGAGGTTCTCGGGGTGTTTCACCCTCTGGCCCCATAGGATCAATGGTGGGGTGTACCCTGCTAACCTTTTCCTATGCTTTAGGTGTAGTGCTGAGGTCCAGGACACGGTGACACCAGTTGGAGGTCACACATAGGGGTCAGGATCTATGAATTTCACCCTGTAGTAAGGCAGGGCAGGGGCACCCATTTCTACAGTAGTCTGAGAGGTGAGGACAGGGTGGGTTGGGTCCCACTCAGCACAGGAAGTGGGTCCCTCCAGCTGGGCCTGAAGGGCCAAGGTGTCTTGCAGGGGATGAGTTCTGCCTGCCCCACCTCCCTGCTTTCCCAGGGCCTCCTCCGAGTGCAGGGAGTGCAGGGCTGAAGCCTGGGGCTGGGTTCCAAGCTCCTTCCTGATTGGGAACATTTTCCCATCTTACGCTAACAGATGAGCACCCAGCATCCAAGGTAGGGCTGTGACTCTGCTGAGCACTCTGAAGCTGAGACCACCAGGCCTTGGCACCTTCCCAAGGCCCTGGAGCTGCTCAGCAGGGGGTGAGGCAGGGCAGGTGGGGGCAGCAGGGAATGATAATTCCCTGAGCACCTAAGCCTCTCTCCTATTGGGAAGTGGGAAACCAGCTGGGTGGGAGGTGCTTGCCTCCTGGCCTTGCACGTGTCCCTGAGAGGCGGGAGTCCTGGGCTGCCTACCTGGCCTCTGCCCTTGTACCTCAATATTGGGCAGTGCACCACTAAAGCCAGCTTCCCATGTTTCTTGAGGTCTTTTTTTTTTTTTAAAGTTCCTTCAAATATTTTATGTAGAGAAGGAAAGAAAATTTATAGTGGCAATTATTTCCTCACAGTCTGGTGAGCAAGCAATTAGAAATAAGGGGGCTTAGCCGAGCGTGGCGCTTGGTAGAACCACACAAGGCCGCTCCCCTGGAGCACGGCCCCCGGGCCCCACAGCACGGGCTCCTGTGCGGGAAAATTAATCTGCCGGCATTTAAGCTGTGCCCCTCTGGTGGGTGTAATCACTCTGAAATAAATTATCTGACGTGGTGAAAAATGAGAGCTCCAGTGTGGGTGAGATCTGGCTCCTCGCCGGCTCTTAAGCTCTTTGGGTGTTCTCCATCCGTACCTTCCTTCCTCCTCCATCTCACCCCAGGAGCGGGGGCCTGAAAAGTGCATTTACCTTGAAGGGGTGCAGCTGCTGTTGTGGCCAGCCATGCTCGGGGCCAGGAGCTTCCTAAGTACCATCGAGCTCCAGCTGCAGACGCCTCTGCAGCAGCTCCCACCTCCCTGCCATCCTGCAGTCAGGTGACTGCTCCAGCTTTCTGGGGGTGCGGCCTGCCCTTGAAAGGTAATGCACTCAGCTGCCACATGGCAGAGGTGTCCATCCATCCATCCAGTCTGGAGAGGAGACTTTAAAGTCTTGCCCAGACACTTGGAAGGCTGAGGTGCAGGAGTATTGCTGTGAGTTCCAGGCCAGCCTGAGCTGTATAGTGAGACCCTGCCTCGGCCCAGAGAGTCTTCCTCTTCCCCAGAGCCACCCGGCGGGCCTAAGATGTCCTAGTCCAGGCCGCACATCTCACCTTATGCCCTCTACCCTTGGTCCTGGAGCTGCCAAATCAGAAAGAGCTGTCCTGGTTTGAAGAAAGAAATCTTTATTAATAATCTTAATAATAATAATACTGTTAATTTGAATGGTCACACCTTGGAAGCATACAGAATGGTAAGAAAGGAAGCCTGGGGCTCGGCTGCAGTCCTGGGGGGCAGGGGCCTGGGGCGAGTAGGGTCTGAGCTGCTGCAAGAAGAGGGTCCAAAACAGCAGAGGGCACGAGGCCCTGCAGAGGACGGAGCCGGAGGCAGGCACGGGGCTATGTACAACAGGAATAGAAAAGGAGGATTCGTTTCCAGAGCGTCAGTAGCTGATGCTGAATAGAAAGTGAGGTGTATTTTTTATTTTTGAAGTTTCATGAGACAGTGGAGCCACATCGGGAGCCCGTTAGTAAGTTTTTGCTGCTTCCCTTCTCCAGCTATCGCTGCCTCACCAGGAGCTCTGCCCTGCCACCTGCCGTCTGCTCCCTCCTCTGCCCATCTGCCTGCCCGGGGCCTATGCTGCCCTTGACTCCCACCACGTCTACACCTGCCTGGGAGTGGGGCCAGGCTGTGGTCCCACTGGTCCCCTCGTGGCAGGGCCAGCTCAGGCCTCCCCATCCCTCACACATCTTGCAGAACTGTTCTGGTTGGCACTGCCCCGGTCTGTAGCGCCGCCATGACTCCCAACTGGGAAGTGGAGCCCAGCTGGCCATCCCTTGTCCCTCTCTCCTTCCAGCAGGGAAGGCACGGGGCAGGTCAGATCCCAGCAGGCAGCATGAGGTTGGCCTCCTCCAGGAAGGGAGAGATGGCTGCTAAGTGCAAGTCCTCAGCTTCAGGGCCCCTGTCCATGCTCACATCCCCTTGGAGTGGCTCCTGGCCAGCTGGGCCTCCTTTCCTGTGCTCTGCAATCGGGAGCCTTCTTACTTGTGGGAAACAGGACCCAGGCACCCCTAGTTCTGGAGCCATGTCAGCCCTTTGCATTGGAGTTGGACCCCAGGGCAGCTGCTTGGACAGCCAGCCAGCGGCACAGGGGGCACTGCATAGCCCAAGGTGGTGGCTGCCCCTCCCCACCCCTGGCCCCTCCAGGCACAGCCCACCTGCCCTGGTCGCTCCTCCCAGAGGCCAGGCCTGCTCCACCTCTGTACCCCACTGCAGGGGTCAAGGGCCTGAAAGGAAGACTGGATAGACAACGGAGCCCCTGCTGGCCACACGTCCAGGCCCCTTCCCTCCAAATCTCCCCGGCGTGGCCAGCCCAGCAGGGCTGCTTTCTGTGCGCCCGGCGGGGCGTGCTCCCTCGGTGCGGGTGTGCGCCAGACGCGAACTTGGACTTGGTTGGATGCCTCTTGGTTTGGTTGGTTTTTTTGTTGCTTGGATCTTAACATCTTTTTTTGTTTTGTTTTTTGTTTTGTGATTTTTTTTTTGTTTTTTTGTTTTTTGCCCTTCATGGTCCAAGAAGGAAACGGTGGAAGGTTTCACTACAACAGAAACAGAAAGGCAGAACTTGCAGTTTCCCTGGAGTAGCCTCGGGCACGGGGCCCCACGACCCATGGCCTGGGCCCAGCTTCAAGTCCCAGCACCCCCTAATTCTGTCCTCAGCTTTGGGGACCCATTCTCCCTTGCAAGCTGAATCCAGGGCAGACCTACTTCATGGCCGGGTATGGGCGCACTGCATGGGGTAGGACAGAGTGACTGGCCCAAAACCGGCACGAAGCTGGCTAGTAGGAGTTACCTGTCACTCAGATGGGGCAAGTGAGGCTAGAGAACAGGGGACAAGGGGTGATGGAGAGGCTTGATGGGAGGAGAGGAGAGAGCAGGACACCCCTCCACAGCATCCAGAGACCGGGGCTGTGTCCCCGCCTGGTGTACAGACCTGTGTGCCCCAGGGCTGGTACTGACCAGACCTTGCCTGTTTTAGTGGGCTGCCCAGCTCCCTGGGTGTTAGACCTGACCTCAAGTTCCAGCCTGCATCCCTTCCAGGGCTCTGTACAGGGTGTCACCATGCTGGCAGGGGTTCCTGGGAGGACTTTCCCTTCTGAAATGGACCTGATGAAGAGGCATGTGAGTGCCTGGGGACCTCAGTGCTAAAGTTCCACCTATGAACTGGGGGCCCCCAGGGCCCAGGCTCTGCCAGGTGCTGGTGCCAGGTGCAGGGAGGACCTCTGTGCTGGGCAGGGTGGGGTGGCCTGGGGCATTTCTTTGGCAGTTTCTTTCCTCATGTGCACTTCTTGCACTAAGGGCTGGTGTGACCACGGTGGTGTGGCATGCTGAGCAATGTGCCTGTGACTACGCTGGCAAGAAACGTCATCAATAAAACTTAATTAAAATAAGAGTTTCAGCGAAAGGAGTGGGACAATGGAGGCGGCCACTCCTGTGATTATCAGATGTAGGTGACAGGTGCCCCACTGGGACTGTGGAAGCCCACTGGCCAGGGGGCCTGAGCCCCTCACTCCCTGCATCACTAAACTCTTGGGGCACCAGGCTGGGTAGGGGAGGCCTGGCGAGTGTTCCTACAGCTGTGTGCAGCCGGGTCACCAAGAGACAGAGATGTCATCCTCCTAAGGTGCTGATGCTTGTCTTCCCCAGCCTGGACCCCCCCTTTGTGCATACTGTACCTGAAACAGCTTGGGTAGTGCAACATCAACAAAGTCAAGATAGGAAACCACAGTTCAGACATACAGGAAAAACCAGGGTCAAAGACACACACACCATCATGGGTGGGGTGGGGAGACCAGCTGGCTGAAATAAAAATCTACGGATTTTAGAGTCGTAGAGGGTCAGCGGTGCATGGCGCTGACCGGGAGGGTGCACTGTCCTCCTGGTGGCTGTGCCTGGTGTTGGGGCTGTAGGGTTTGGTTTGGAATAGGCAGTGGTGTGAATGCTGTTAGGGGCGGGTCTCTTGCTAGTAGGGGGTGAAGCGGCTGTACCCTCCTCGGCAGAGGCTAGCCTGCAACATCAAAGATGAAAAACAGCCAATCAGTACCACCTTTTGTTAGGGAGGAAAAAGCCAAAAGAAAAAAAAATAAGGCAAAACAAAAAGAGAAATAGCTAAATCCCATTTTCTTTTGCCCTTATGGTTTTCCTCGGGAAAAGTGGATATCTGATTGTCATGGCAACAGGGGGTCAGGGGCCTCATTCCTGTGTGGCTGCGGTCTCGGTCAGGAGGGTGCTTCAGGGTCTTGTAAGCAGCCTCTGGGCCACTTGTCTGGGCTAGTCTGCCACACCCTGTCTGGCCTCAGGTGCCTGGAGGCCCTAGCATAAGCCCCACCTCCTTGTGCCCTGCAGGATGTCTGTGTGGGCCACTGGAGCCAGCTCCACCCTGAGGGGCACACCTAACTGGGTTCAGTTCCGGGGTCACTTGGGGCTTTCCCCCCTCTGGGTGCTTCCTGGGCTCTGTGTCTCGCTCTTGCACGCCCCTGGGTGGCCACCCACCAGTTTTGCCAGCAGAAGGAAGAGATGGCAAATGTCAGAGGTGAAAAGTAGTGAATCTTAAAAAAGGAAAACCTGAGAGAGAACCCTTATGAATTAATGAAAGCTTTTAGCTAGCAGCTGTGCTGAGGGCAGGCAGCCCTGGGGCTCCAAGCCTGTGAACCATGGTGTTTCGGCCTCTGCCAGGAGGGCTCCCTTGGCCCCGAGGAGCCTGTGCTCTGTAGCTGCTGCTGCACCCTTCAGAGACTGCTTGGGATGACTGAGGCTCACTCAAAGCCAAAAAGACAACATACCAATTGGGAGGGAATAAGCAAGACCAAGGGAGGTGGAAAAAAATTCACGTGGCCTCCTCCCTCCTGACTCCCCAAAGAGTGTTTTCATCTTTGATGCTGGATACCAAGCTAGCTAAAAACAAACATTAACACCTTTGGGGTGGGGTAGGCACAAGAGGTGGGTGTACACTGGAACAGAATCGGGTGCAGAGTGGGTGGGGCTGTATGTGTCCACAGCTGGCCACACACACACACACACACACACACACATACACACAGACATGCCGGCTGCACACCTCCTATAGCAGAGGTATGCCCCGCCCACCAAGCCACTGGGGGAGCCCTGGAGGAGTCTGGAAGGGGAGCTGGGTAAGGGACAGTAGTTGGCCTTCACTCCCCTTCCCATGTGAGAGGACCAGTGTGGGGCTTGGTGTCTATACAACCTTAGAGGGAAGGCCGAGCCATGACCCTTGGGAGCCTCTGCTGGGGAGGCAGGTGGTGCTCTTCAGGGCTAGGGTTTTGGGGCCCAGGAGAACAGGTCCCACTAGGGTGCTTTCCAGAGGACCTGATGTTAAAACAGGGCTGGCCACCTGATCAGACCTGTCTCCCCTCAATGACAGAGGGCACAAAGGGGCAAGCCCTCCCCCTCTCCTCCACTGAACTCAAGCCAAGAGTTACCAAAAGAGGCCCTGGCTAGAGGTCTTGGCCTGCTCCCCCCACCCCCATGGTGACATACCCCTCCACCCTTAGCTTGCTGGCACCCAGGGCTGGATGGGCCAGCTTGCTTACCATAGTTCCAATGCTATAGGTCGCTGCAGGGCCAATGGTGTGATGGTAAGGGTCAGCAGCTGCATAGACTCTGCCGTAACTGGGGGAAAAGCAGGGCGGGGGCAGTGTGTGGTGGGGGCCTGAGGGAGGGGCCACCGACCTCTCGCCTCCTTCCAGGCCCCTTTCCTCTGGTCCCAGCCACAAAGCCTCTCCGTTTCCCATGAGGCCCTCCTCACAGCCCATCCTCCCTGCCTGTCAGGAAGGAAGTCCCTGGGACCTGAGGGCCACTCTTTCATGGCATCCAGTGTGTGCAGTCCCTGATGAAGGACCGCACACCTACTCAGTGCCGTCGGAAGGAAAGGGACCCTTAGTGAACACGAGCTCAGAGAGAACAGGGACAGGGAGAAAGACCTAATAGAGAGGCCGGGAATGTCACCATCAAGGAGGTGGCACAGTGTCCCCAGATGACTTTCCTCTCACTCATCTGTGCAGTGACCCATCAGCTTCTTAGAGGACAGGGCTGGGCCCTGGGGCTTGTGTGCCATGCATACATGATGGGACAGAGCAAGAGGTTTGCAGGAAGGGTACAGACCCAGGGGTCTCTTTGCTACGGGGCCTCCAGGTCAGATGGACATGTGGACAAGAGGCACAGCCATCTGGCTGAACTGCCACTTCAGGGCCCAGTCAGGAACTCTGTGGTCACCAAGCCGATCATCCCAGGGGACGGTGCCTGGCTCAGCCACCTCACGGTGGGACACTTGTTCCTGATACCCCAGGCAAAGCAAGCTATCTAGGGTCTCTTTTCTGGGCCTGCTTGGAGCTAGGCACACAGAACTGCCCTGGTTTCATTCTGTCCAAAAGGGAGGTTTCTGATTAGCCTTCTTGCATGGGGCCTCAAGAGCTGGGGCATCAGACCCAGGGTTGGGGACAGAGAGGTTCTCGGCTCCCCTTCAGTCTTGCAAGCAGGAAGTGACTGATGTCAGAGGCTCACTGGCCACCCCTGAAACTGCTTTACTGTCCAGACCCAGGACCCACCAGGCCCTGACCTTTGGATCCAGCCCTTGGGGGACCCTGGGCTACCTTCTTCCAGGACAGCTGTCTGCCCCAGCCTCACCTGTCGCTGTAGGCTGCTGCTGCTGCTGCCGCTGCTGCTGGCTGAGTGTATCTGTAGGCTGCATAGCCTCCCTGCAGGATGGGTGGGAGGAAGAGACGGCAAATGGACTTAGTGGGGCTCATCTGGGAACCTGGGGCAGACACAGACTGCAGGGCTGGGCTCTTGAAAGGGGGTGTGGACCCTCCCAGTCCCTCACCTTCCCCCTTCACCTTGGCCTGGGGAAGTTTAGGTGGTGCCTGCCCTGGGCGGCTGGCTTATGCCTAAGGGAGGTCTGAAGACTGTCAGGTGGCCTGGATTCAGAAGAGGCAGGGCCACTGACCTATTCATTGGTTCTCAGCACATGGTAGTGGATATCGACTATACCTCTGGGTGTTTGCTGGCCCTTGGCAAAAAGTAGGTACCCACAGACCTGCCCACAGGCCAGCAACACCTTGGCTGGGCATGGGGAACCCCCCAGTGCCTCAGTGCTTTCCTGGGTCCTGGGAGGAGTCAGCAAGCCCAAGGAAGCACTGACCCAGACGATGTCTTAATCTCAGATGAGTGGGTGACTGACTGGGAGACTGCCCAGGACTGAGGCCCAGGACTGAGGTACCCTGGACTGTCTCAGAGGGGTGTGGGCCAGAGAGGAAGCAGGGCGCAGCCTCATGAAAAGGGAGAGAGAAGCCACAGGAACCGGTCCTGGCACCTGGGGGCCCTGCCTCCTGGTCTCTCTTAGGCTTCTGCACTGGGTAAGAGTGTCCCTGGGGGTTAACTCAATGACCCCAGTGTGGTCAGGGGGCAGGGAGAACCCCCCACTCCTGTCTTGCCAGGTGGACAGGTTGTCTCCAGCTTATAGAGCTGCAGCAGACCTACCAGCTCCTCTAATGAACAAGACAAACCCAGACTGGGCTAGGCTGGGGTCCCCCGGGATGCCACTCTCTGTGGACTGGCACCCTTGATCCTGATCCCAGGGACGGGAGGGGGCTGTGCGAGGCAGACAGACAGAAGGGCTGGCCCTGCCCTCCCCTCCAGAGGGCGCACTTACATAAATCTCAGCACCATAAAATCCATCCTGATACACGACCCTGGAAGCAAACGGACAAGAGAGTGGTGGGAACGCTGGAGAGGTGGGGTAGGCCGGCTCCGGAGTCTGCTGAGGAGGGAGGGGGCACGGTGCCAGCCCCGCCCACGGGACTGGCATTTTAACAAGCGTTTGCTCCAGTGCCCTGTTTGGTATAACAATAGAGTAACACCCTTGCTGGGCAGCTCCTTTCTCTCAAGACCCAGGGGGCCCGTGGGCCCATTCCAGCAGCCCTCCCTCCCCTCCCGCAGGCAGCTGTCCCCGCATTCAGCAGTGGGGGGCATAGGACCCCCGGAAATAGACCAGAAAGGGCTCCGAGAAGCCCCTCCTGGACCCGGGGGCCGAGGATGCCCCATTAAGGCATCCAGGTAAGGTGCTGGTGCTGACCGTCCTGCTAAACGCAGTGACCCATCCCTCGGTGGGGTGGGGGCACTGAGGCTGCAGGAGACTAGCGAGACCCTCGCCCCCCCACCTGGGGCCGCCCGCGCCCCTCCCCCGGGCCTCCCTCCAGCTCCCCCGCCAGGTACTCACGCTCCGTAAGTCGGGATGGGGGGTGGAGGCGGTGCAGCCCGAAACGTGTTATACACGGCCCGGCCCCGGCCCCGGAGGTGGGCGCCCCTGTAGGCAACAGCCGTGCCCGTGGTGGGGTAGGGGAAACCGGTCACTGCAGGAAAGGGCGGGAGAAGAGTGGGAGAGGGAAGGCGCGGGAGGGCGGGAGAGACCCCAGGCTGGTGCCGCTGCCCCCTCCCGTGGCCAAGCCCACCGGTCCCTGACTTTACCTGCATAGAATTCAGGCCCATAGACTGCACCTACCACGGGATTTAGCTTCCAACCTAGAACAGAAGCGGAGGCCACTCAGGCTCCGCCCAAGCAGACCTCACCACTCCTGGGACACCGGGGGTAGCAGGTTGACCTGCTGGCCTTTCCCGGCGCCCCTTAGGTGCTGCAGCCAGCAGGGACTGGAACCGCGGGGGCCATGTCCTCCGGAGCCTGCTCCTGGGCACCCCTCACCCCAAGTCACCAGTCCCTGAAGCTTAGAGGAAGTGGAAATGGGTCTCTAGACGCTGTGGTCACAGTTGGGATGAGGGGTTGTGTCAGGGGGCCTCTCCCACTTGTGTTCTGGCTCTCCTCTGTGTGAATAGTGCTCCCTGCTGTCTATTCTCACTGTTCACTCCTGGCTGCAGGCCGGGGAGAGAGGAAGGGCCATTGGCCTGGGGACAAGAATGATGAGCATTAAAGTTCCAGAGCACAAAACCTTTGGGATGATCACCACCAACAGGCAGGCATTGAACCCTCTCCATATTACAGACCCTGAAGTGGAGGCTTAGTTGGGATCCTGGGTCATAAAGGTGGGGAGGGCTGGGCCAGATGTGAGCCTGTAGCCTCAAGCCGTCCCCTCCCTGGGTGCCAGCAGGCGCTGGCACATTGCTTCTCCCTTCCTGTTGGTGGGCTGGTCTTCTCACCAGGGGATCCAGAGACAAAGGTCTGACTCTACCTGAAGCCCCCACGGGGTGGAAATCGGGTGGTTTTGAGTGGGCTTCTGCCTGGTATTCAGCAAGGTGGGTGGGAGGCTTCTCTCACCAGCCCAGCCTCCCCCATCAGCTGGCCTTTGGTCCTGTTTGTGCAGCATGGTCTACAGGCCAATTCCTTGTGCCTCTGCACTGTGTGAGGAGAAATGGGGGACTTGAGCCCACTGGCCAGCTGGCAGTTCTGCCCTGGAGAGGGTGGCCATGGGCATCGGAGGTGGATTCTGTGTGGGAATCCCAAACCCCGATGCCCTGCTGCAGAGTGGTGGGCTGGAGACGCCCAGGATGGTGCATCCAGGGGATGCAGGATGCTGCCTTCCTGCTCACTCTCCGCCCCTCTATGACAGTGAGCTGCTTTCTACCCCCATCCCACCATGGCTAGAACTCTGGTATCTCCCATAAACCTAAGGGCAGGAGGGTAGAAGCATTTCATCTGGGAAAATCCCCCACTCCAACAACGGAACTTTTCCTAGTAGAATTTCCATGATGGGGCAGAGCCTGGAGCTGACCCAGGCCACCTTCCCAGGCTCCATCCCAGGACCTCACTTGGGTCCACGCTGGGTCCCTGGGCCTGAAGGCTGAAAGTCTGCATCAGAAGCCCTGGGAATCCTCGTCTGTTAGTTGGGCTTCCTGGGGGCCCTACCTGTCCATTCCAGCTCTACCCATTGCTGCTGGCCCCACACGGATCTGGACTCTCACTGGTCACAGTGGCAGCCTGAGCCTCACCTGGAGAGCCCTTTGCTTCTACTGTACATAAGAACACCTGGGACCTGGCTTCCGCAGTAGGCGGTTCCTCCAGGCCCAGTGAATTCAAGTGCTCAGGCTTAAAGCACCATGGGCCCTTCTGGAGCAACCACAGGAACTCAACTACTTTCCTCTGCAGCTCGAGATTCTTGCCAGGGCCAGCAGTGGCATTTAAGTGAGACTGCTCTTATAGCACAGATAGGCAGAGACTCCTGCCTCACTCCAGCAGCCAGCAGTGTACCCCCACAGCACTCTGGTCCTGGCCAGAGTGCAGGAGGAGGGTGGTTTAGTAGTACTGGAGACTGAAGCCGCTTATTCTGATACTGAGCTATACCCCCAGCCCTCTTAATTTATTTAGATCAAGGTCTCACTAAATTACCTAGGCTGGGCTGAACTTGTAATCCTCCTGCTTCAGCATTCTTAGTAGTTGGGATAACAGCCACCATGCCTGGCACTACGGGTGAGTGAAGAGTGGGCAGTGGTGCATTGTCCCCTAGTCACCCTAATCCTGTGGATATGTCTACCTCTATGTAACCAGTTAAACCAACTGGCTCTTTCCTTGTGGGCGGTGGGATGCAATGGCTGTAGGTAGCAGCCCCCTTGGCAGTTCATGCAGCTGTTGCTTGGATGGATTAAATTAAGGGACCTTGGAGACAGATGCCCACGTGCTGTTCTATTCTAGGCTTAGACAGCTATTTGATGTGGCTTTGGAAAGCCCAGGGCACAGTGACAGGCATTCACACTGACCAAGTCATCATAGCTATCCAGGTCATGTCCATCCACAAAGCTGCAGGACAGGAGCCCACACAAGGCCGAGATCAAGTTCTCTGCTGCTAGAAGTCCACATTTCAAAGAAGTGGGATTTTACCATGCATGTTTAATGCATGTGAATTTGAAGACATGAGAAACAGCCTTTTTGGGTGGCTGTGGGGTTAAATGCATTCTCGGTCATAGTCCTTTGGACAAACAGCAAGACTTCCATTCATGAAGGCTTCCCATCATGCCCACCTGGAAATCCTACTTCCTTTTTTTTTTCTACCTTAAAAAAAAAAAAATACTGCCAGAAGGCAGATAACAGAAGTTACAGCTAGGATGCACTCCATACTACAGCAGAGCTTGGATGCCCCAAGTTCCTAAAAACAATTTGAGATTTGGGTCCTTATTTAAGGATAGAGGACACAATATTTATCTCTAATCGGGTCTGGTCAGAGCCCTGTCCCTCTGTCCTGGGGGCCTGACCTGAGGTGAGATCAGATTGTGCTGCAGATCTGTCCATGTCCTGCCCCAGGCTTCCTGCCTGGCTAGTCACCTGATTCCAGGAGAGGCTGCGTGTGCCACGGTAAACTCTGTCCCCATACAGGGATAGCTTGCCAGTGGGGAGTCCTGTGCCATCTATTCCAGAAGCTGCTGCTCCACAATAGGTGGTAGGAACCAGAAAAGGCCCTGATGTGTCACCAGCTATGCTCAAAGCCGAACCCTTGCCTGATAGAGTAAGATGTTCTGTGGCCACCATCCCCTCCAGGTCTTAGCATCAGCAGATTAACTGTCAAGCAAAACTCCTCACTATAGCTGGGTACCACAATTTACCCATGTTATTGACCAGCAGGTCAACCTGGAGACCTCACCCATTTTAGAGGCTTCCAGAGCCCAAAGGATGTGGTTGCTTTCATCAGCATCAAAATATGGAGCACCGCCATCCCAGGCCCTAGGCCAGACCTGGAGATGCTGTCATTATTAACCCTGGCCAGTGAGTGGATGTCACCACCCACTTGATGAAGAACTGGAGCTGGGGAGCCTAGAAACTTGTCCAAGGCCCTCCAGTACCCTCCCCAATCTTTATGCGCATGTGCACACAAAAATCGGAGCAGCATGTCTGACCACAGAAATCTGCAGCAAGCATGAATCCCCAGGAGCGCAGAAGCAATCAGCTAGAAAGTCACCATGGCCGTGCTATACCAGAAATCTGTGTAATACTTGGCCTCCAAGTGCTGTCCATGTTTGGGAAAGCCCGGGGGCCCTGACGGTGGATGCCAGCTGTAAGGGTGGGGCAGCTTTGCTGCCTACACTGACCACCCGCTTCTCCTGGACAGAAGCACGACAGCTGGGACACCAGGAGAGGTGGGGAACCAAGCACCCAGGAAGGCTGCTCTGCAGTAGCCTCCAGCCCCAAGGGTCACCAACCCGGCCTTGGAGCTCTGGGTGTTCTGGGCCTCTTACCATTGGTGTAGGGGTTCCCGGTCTTCTTGTTGGTCATGACTCGGGCCGTGGCATTGTTGACCTGTCCAGAGAGGGGGAGATACAGGTAAGGGGTCTTGCCTGGCCTGCTCCTGCTTCCCCATGGCTGCCAGGGAGAGGGGGCTGGGGGCTGGGAGAAGGCCCTTGGGGGTCATCTAAGCTGCCATGCAGCCTGGCCCAAGGCCCCTGGCCCAGACCCACTGGCTTGTGCTTTTCCCAGAGTAGATCCAATAAACCCAGCACCGGTCCCTTGGGCAAACCAAGACCTGTGGAGAAGCTTGCTGTGGGCTGCCAGGCTGGCTCTGGAGATGTTCTCTCCTCCTGGAGCTGCCAAGGCCCTCCTAGGTGGGTGCCCAAGAGGGCCACTCCCTAGCCCTGTGGAAGCACCCCTTTCCTGGAAAGGACCCTTTGCTGCTCTGCAGCACTAGAAGCTTCCTGATTGGGTCTGTGCCCAATCCTGGGGGTAAGGTGCGTAGAGATTCTAGACAGACAGTGTCAAGGGGCCAGGTCCTCTAGGTAAATCCATCAGACCACCCAAGGGAACACAGAAAACAGGTGGCCTGTATGGGAAAAAGTAGGAACAGGGCAGGTGGAACCTGAGGAAGGGGTCTGGCCATTGGCCCTGGAGTCCACTGGGCACTGGACTAGGCCAGTAGCTTAGCTTCAGAACCCTCCCACCATGTACCCCCAGGGCTCTTCCTGAGCTGTGGACCCTCCCGCTTTCTCAGTGCTGCTGTCAGGGAATGAGCTCTGGGCACCAGAGCCACAACACCAGCATCACAAAATGGGGCAAGCGGGGTCAGGAGGCCTGGGGTCCTCTGCCTGCTGCCCTCCTGGCTGCTGCCTCTGCTTCCTCCGAGGGCTGGACTGCAGCAGAGGCCATCCCTGGGCAGTGGGGAGGGCAGGAGCTAGTCCTCCCTGGATGGGGGCAGACGGGCTGACCCTAGTCCTTGATGTGGCCAAGCCTCACGCACACAGGTTCTGGGGCTTCTGGGTGTCTCCTCCAGGAATGGGAAGGAGTGGGGAGAACAGAAGGACCCTTGGATGAGCCTGAAGTCTAAATCAAGCAGGCAGAAGCAATGGGCTCAGACAAGAGCCAGTCACGTGGTGGGTGGGGACAGGGTCTGGCCCTGATGTGACCCTTCCTCCCACACAGAGCACACTGGCTGGGCTCTCTGCAGGGCGGACAGCACTAGGCTGGAGGGGGACCCAGGGAGGGGGACGGGGCAGGTGTCCAGGACCTCCCTGCCACCGCACACTTATCTGAGCACCTCAATTTTCCGTCCCTCTACGATCGTCCCATTCAGCTTCTCCCGGGCTCGGTCAGCATCTGAGCTAGTTTCAAAAGTTACAAACCCAAAGCCCTGTGAGCAGAGGAGGACAGACATGGAGAGAAGACAGGATGAGAAAAAGGGGCAAAAGGAGGAGTTGGGGAGTTGGGGTGGGGGCAGGGCCAGAGGGAAAGGGAAGGAGAGAGAGAGGGAGAAAGAGAAAGGGCTGAGTCAGGGGGATCCAAGGAGAGGCTCCTTAGGCAGCCCAGAGGTTGTCTGGTGCCACCGGCAGGATGCACATGGGTGTGGGCTCCAGGGTGAGCAGCAGCTGGCCACCCGAGCCCAACCTGAGCTGACAGCCTGGCACCTCTGAGGGACAAATCAAAGGTACAGAGATGCTAACCTGCCCAGGGGCTGAGGCTGGGCTTCAGGAGTCCAGGGTAGACAGCCCCACCCACCTTCACCCTAGAAGCCCTGAGGGTTAGGGACTTGCTTTCCTGGAAGGGGAGCAGGGTCTGTCTTTGCCAGGCACTCTCCAGGCCGGCTCACCCTGCACCCCTCTCCAAAGCCTGCAGGCCAAGTCCAAGGGAAGCTGAGGGCCTGGGGGGTAAGTGGTTGGGTGGGGGGGGGGGTCCCAGGCCCAGACTGGGGCTCTGGGGTGCAAGAAAGAGGTCTTGGCAGCTTAGAGAGAAGAAGCAGCATGGTGGCAATGACACAGATGGCTGGGGCAGGGTGGGAGAGCGGGGAGTACAAGCACCCGTGTTCTCAAGGGTCCTCGGGCATGAAGCTCTCCAGGAAGGAACATGTCACACGTTAGCCTGGCAGGACCTACAGCCGGCGCGGAAACGGTGGCAGCCTCTGTGCGGCACCCACCTTGGAGCCCCGCTCGTTAAAAATGATCTCCACGTCTAAAATCTTTCCAAATTGCTGCAAAGACAGAGACAGAGAGGAGGGTAGGAGACAGGAAAGGTGTATGAGAAAGCGGCCCGTCTGTCCCCTGTGCTGGTCGCTAGATGCACCAGGCATGGGAACAGGAGCTCTGGGACCCCTCTACACCTGCCCTGAGCCCCTATGCAGAGAACCCTGGGTCTTCTTTCTTAAGGAGCATGTTTTGCTTGGACCCTGGTCACATCTGCTGGCCAGATGGGATTGGTTGTGTGACTGTATAATCAGGGTCTCCCCGGACCTCTAGCATAGCCACAGTGGGGATGGACTGTCACCCCATAGTCACAACAAAGGACAAGGTCTATGGAGGGGGTGGGGGTGGGAGAGGGAGAGGCATGAGCTAGGGCCAGGAAATGGGGATCTTCAGGCTTCCTTCAGAGGGAGGAGGAGAAAAACAGCTGGAGGAGGGGGAGACCCAGCAAGGAGAGGGTAGATGGGGGAGGGAGAAGGGAAAAGCAGGGTGATGAAGGGGCTGGGGAGGGCCTCACACCATCCCATGTGCTAGGTAGGGCCAAGTTGTGTGTGGGGTACAGGCTACAGTGTCCAGATTCCAGGCCCTGCCTGTTTGGGGTACACCGAGTAGTTTGCGTACCCCCTTCCTGCCCCAAAGGCAGGGAGAGGCCGTGAACCTGTGAGCCAGGTCCCTGAATACCACCCGTGAGGTCCTCAGAGGCCTGATCTGCAGCCTCTTGTGCCAGCCCCACCCCTGGAGGCAGGGGAAGTGGGGCTCGGGGCCTAGGGAGCCGGCAGCATCAATGTCTCAGTCTTCCAGGTTCTGAAAAGGGGGCCCTGCCTTCCCCATTCTATGACCCAGGACCTGGTGTAGAGCGGGGCCTGCCCCCGCCTCTTGACTTAGTGAACAGGGGCACATTGAGGCCTTAGGTTAGCACATACACCATGCTGGCACTACCGCAAGGGGAGCTGGGTCCAGGGAGATCTGGGGCACCTTAAGCCCCCAGGGCTGAGAGGAGGGACAGCCTTTCCCCCTGAAGACTCAACCATGCCAGCCTTGTGGTGAGTCTGAGCTCCAAACCCAACAAGGTCAAACCCCAGGATGGGGAGTGGACTTCTAGGGTCACCTAGATATGGGTATCAGACTGCCGCACCCTATTTCCCTGCCCAGTCCCAGCTGTGTGAGATGAGCCTGGGGGGCTGGCAGGGGCTTCAGGGTCAGAGCCACCCACTGTGTGGGAGAGGTGGAGGCAGGTCCAGCGGTAGGCAAGACGCACAGGCCAGGCTGCACCGTCCCTTGTGGCCAGGGCAGGGGGTGTCAGCACCTGCCAGGTGCTCCAGCCCATTGACAGGATGCAAGGGTAGCCCTGTGACTGCGGGAACCCATGGTGCAAAACTGAGAAACAGACAATAGATTCAGAGAGACAGTCCTCACTTCACACCAACGGTGCATTTTCAGGTCGCCTCACAGGGGACAAGGAGGACTCAGGCCTGGGCAGGAGTGTGACTGGTCCCCAGGCGCACAGAGGAGGTTAAGCTCTGTGTGTAGGCAGGAGGCTCCAATGCTCTCTGCTGGGGTCAGGAGTCAGAAAGCGTAACCATAGCCTGATAACCCAGTGGTCTCTAGGAAGTCCCTGAGGACAAGGGACCCTGCTGGTGGGGGATTTCTGGCCAGGGAACCGGGCTGTCACAATAGCCCTCCTGCCCTGCCCCATAGGGTCCCCAGGTGGGAAGGAGCTGCCCTGGTCCCTGGGCCATGGGGTAGGAGCAGGGATGGACCAGTCTGAGCATACTCACCCCGAACATTTGCCGCAGATCTGGGTCCCTGAACCGGAAGGGGATGTTGGAGACGTGCAGCCGCTTGGGCTGCTGCTTCTCTGTGGGATCGGAGGAGTGGAGTGGTTGGCTGTCTGTCTGTGCCGCCTCATCTGTCTGCTGTGGGGAGAGGACAGGCTGCAGAGGCCACCTCCTGATGGCCAGAGCCCACCCACAGGCCTCTCCTGCACGTGATTCAGGGCACAAAAAGCCCACAACCTCCGAGGCCTCAGCTCCAAGTTTTGCCCACGTGGCGCCAATGTGGCCACGTCCCTGCTGCTGCCCCGTACTAACTTCCATGGCGGAATTTGTTCTGAGTTCCCTCAGCTCCATCGACAGAGGTATCATGCCCAGTGACTACGATTGTGCTCAAGGAAGTTCTGGGGCCCAGGACCCTTCTGGCATCAGGGCCAGACAGACTTGGGGACGGGCCATGTGGGCACACATGTCTATGGGATGCCCACCCCATGGCCATCTGCAGCAGAGGGTCCTTATTTTAATCCCACTGCTGCCACTCCAGGCCCAGGGTGACCAAGGTCAGTCCTGTAAAGGTCGTTGTCATTTAGATCCCAAATGCTGGCTGGCAGAGGGGTCTTGAAGGACTTGGATTATAGGAAACAGAGCTTCCTTGTGTCGTTGCACCCTGCGCACGTCCTGGTGAGAAGGCTGGAGACAGCACGTGTGCAGCTCTGTCGGTGTGGATGTCTCCAGCAGCTGGGCCACGAGCTCACCAGGAGGCTGCCCTTCAACCTGGCTCAATCCTGGCAGCATGTGCAGCAGCAGAGGCAGAGTGGACAGGCCCTTTGTTGGCACTGGTGGGGAGAATGGATGGTGGACAAGGTGGCTGCTGAGTTGGACCCACAGGCTGAGGCCTCCACGTGCCTGTCATATTCCTGCACCCAGGCCACAGACCACCAGCCAGCTTGCATGCTTTCTCCTGCTGGGCAGCAGCATTGAACAGTGCCCAGAGAAATCTCCAGTACAGCAGAGAGTGCCTGTCCTAATTCCCATTGTGGGGCTCCAATTCAGGTGTCACTGTCCCCAGCTGCCCCAGTGGTCCTGAGCTCAGCTGCTGTAACACACTTTCTGGTGGCTTTGTTCCCTGCCTGCTCTGATTCCCTGTGGCCCTCCAGGCTGGAGAGAGAAACTTCCCAAAGCACTGCTCATGCTTGAACCCTTGATTTGGGTCTGTGTCTAGGGCAGGACAGCATCTGATGGCACTGGGAAGGAGGGTGATCTGGCTCCAGCTTTCTGAGGCAGTTAGGGGCCCTGGGGGTCTGTGTTGGAATTGAGACAAAGTGAGGTGCTGGTGGCTGTGGTCTCAGGACCTGTGTGGCCTCAGGAGCAGAGGCATTTGGTCCTAGTGTGAGGAAAAAAGCCAAGTTTGAAGACACAGTAACAATCCCCACGGTGTCCAAGAAAGGCTTGGTTTGCATAGTTCGTGTGTGTGTGTGTGTGTGTGTGTGTGTGTGTGTAGCAGAAGCAATGATGGATTCATGTCTCTCACAGTTGAGACAGTGATGTGGCAGCCGAGGTTACAGGGGCAGAGTCTCCCCCAGGCCACACTATGGCTAATGGGAGAATTTGGTCCCTGACTCCACTGGGAGTGGTTAACCAGCTCTCCTGACCTTTCTGGAAAGACAGGTCACCTCCTGTCAGGCTTCTGCTGCCCTCAGGTGCCCCTAGAAGCCACCACACCATGGGCTGCTGAAGACCTTGTGACAACCCAGGTGGTGAGATGGGTGTGGGACTGGGTGGCCTGCAGGGGTGTTGGGGCCTCCTGCTCAAACGACCTCAAGATGTAGCACTGCTTTTCTGTGCTGGGAGGTGGGCCCAGGGTGTTCTTGTGTCACCTAGAGCATGACGTGGTTGGTCCCCTCAAGATGGCCAACCTAAGCATGTCCGGCCAATTCTGACAAGTGTTCTTTAAGCCCTGCATGTTTGCAAACTGCCACCCGGGTAGCCCAGCAATGGAGAGTAGGCTCAGGTAGACACTGGTGGTAGATCAGCTGGCGGATCAGTTGTGCTCTGACCTGCATCATCCAATCCCCCTCTCTGCTGGGGAGTGTAGGGCAGCTTTCGGCTCTAGAGGACACAGCCAGGGCTCCTCCATCCACATCTGGGTGCCCAGAGATTCCCAGCGGCCTCCCAGTTCAGTTGCTGGCCTTGTAGTTCCCATCCCTCATTCTGGAAAGCTGGCCCGTGCTGGACTCCAGAGGGCTGACGTGCCTTTGCACCAAGTAAACCGCCCCAGCGCCATCTTTGAAAAGGTCTGAGCCTGGCCACGGCAAGCATAGCTCCTTTCTGTCCTGTGGAATCCATGCAGGATTCATTCCCTGTGCCCTCAGAGGCTCTTGGTTATAATGGAATCACTCTGGATTTGGGAATCAGGTCTGGTTTGGGGATGCAGTACAGGCTTTTGATCACCAGAGGGCAGCGGTCATCATAGCCAGGTACCCACCTGGAGGAACCCAGAGAGCCACGGCAGAGGGGGCCAACAAGAAGACAGCATGGGACACATTAATGAAGTTAGGGTGCCTGGAATTGAGGTGCTCATTTTCCCGCCTCAGAGACCCTGAAGGGGGTGCTGCCAAGGGCCTGGTGGAGAGGAAGGGGTGAGGAGCGTTCATGGGCTGAGCCACAAGGGGCCAGGATGCAGGAGGGAAGAGCTCCTGCTCCTCCTCTGCCCCCTGGCCCAGCGCTGGACACAGGCAGATAAATGGGTTCAGTGACTGTAAAATTGTAAGATGTGCCGAGAAACCCCAGAGCGAACCGCATGCCGCTGCCCCTGAGCTGAGACGCAGGCCTGCCCACCATTTATCACAGCAGTCCAGGCACCTCCGCTGCCTGTCGCCTTCCTTTTCCAAGGGGCTTTCTTTCCTTTATTTATTTATTAAAAAATAGAGAAAACCAATCTCTGCTTCTTCCAGATTTCAAATACAGAGAAAAAGGAAACGCCAACAGTGGAAACACCCCTCCCTCTCCACCAGTCTGGGAGCTCTGCTTTGGCGTGTCTGCCCGGCCATTACTGCCCTCATGCAGTCCTCCACCACTGAAGGTTGGGCACCAGCCCCTGGAGGCCTGGGCAAGTCTAGATGCCCAGGGCCATCTCCTACCCACAGAGGAGCCTGCGGCCCCTCGCACCCCAGGCCAGGCTCAGCACGGATAAGGGACGAGTCAGCTGGAGAAGGGGCCCTGGGTCCAGGTGGGCCACACGAAGCAGGCAGGACCCTGTGGGCTTGTGGCTGGGCTGGAGCCAAGCTTTGCTGGTGAGGCACAAGGTGAACTGGACTATCTCAGCATCCCCATCTCTGCTCATCCTGCCCCTCCAGGGACCACCCGATGCCCCTGCTGTCAGTTCTGGTGGCTGTGGTAGATCATCCCCGACCAGCAGTGAGTTGGCATCCAAGGAGGTCCCCTGACTCCCTCTGCTGGGAGTGTGTTCTCCAAAACCCAGTGCTCTGGTCAGCCCCTCTTTGGGTACATTTTGTGCTCCTGCTTGGACTGTGAGTGACAGGCATGCTACTCTGAGCATCTGGCTGGCCAGTGACCACACTTGAGGGGTCCAAGGCTGACCTGCTACACCATCAGCTCCACCCGTGCAGCCTGGGGCAGGCGAGTGACCTTGGTGTGGTTTGGGGCAACCTTGCCCTGAGGATTCGCCTGCTTACCCAACAGCATCTTTAGGCATTTTGCCCCTGTGGTGGGGGGTGTCAGGAGGGACCTTAAACTGACTGGAACAGGATTCCCCCCAATTATCAGCTGGGAATCCTCCTGAGGCAGGAGGACAAGAGGCCCAGTGGACCCAGAAATTCCAGGAAACCCCACCTTTTCTGAGCTGGAACCCAGTGTGTGTCTTTGGGGGTGCAGGCTTGGTGTGTGTGTGGGGGAACCATGTGTGGGCTGTGGGGCCACCACTCCCTCCCATCCATCAGTCTCAGGCCCAAGGCCAGGCCAGGCCACTGTTGTCTCCTTGGGCTGGGCAGGAGCAGCCTTGCAGAGGCCGACTGTGGTGCTACCAGTGGAGAGGCTGAGGGCAGAACTGAACTGGCTCTCTGAGTCCCCCTCTCCCCCCCGTGGACCCTGGCCACACTTCCTGCCAGGAGAGCAGAAGAAAATCCTCTGGAGGAGAGGGCAGGGAGGCCGGGCCTTCATGGCACGTGAGCTGTGGGAAGATAAGGGCTGTGTGTCCTGATTTGGTGTTACTAGCAGGTGCCCAAGGGATCCGTAAGGGGACTTACTGTGTGTGTATGGTGGGAGGAAGGGGCTGGGACAGTTGGTGGCTGCACCCTGGGAGCTCAGCAGAACCCTAACTCAGGGGGGAGAAGCCAGGTCTAGACCAGAGCTTAGAGTCCACCATGCCTGCCACCGTCCTGCTCCTAACTCTAGGCTGCTTGGAGAAGGAACAGGAGAAGGCTGAGTGAGCTGAAAGAGCCCTCCTAAGGGCTGCAAGGACGGGACGGTGATACCTGACCCAGCACAGGCAACCGGCTTTTGCAGTGCCGGGCAGCTGCTCTGGGAGGGAAGTGGCTCCAGGAATCTTAGAACACCCTCCTTCCCAGCTCCCTCCCAAGTGGCAGGCTCTGCCCAAACAGGTGCTCAAGGTCAGAGTGGCTGCTAGACGCACCAGGTCTTGCAGGGCGTCTTGCAGGGCAGTCTTGGGTCTTCAAGATTTCTTGCTAGCGCTGGCCCAGTATCTTCTACCTGAGGCACATGTTCAGCCCCGGGCTAACAAGAACAACTATTTCACTTCTGTACATGGCCCTGACCCCTGTGCAGGGCCTGAGGACCAGCCCGAGGCGAGGCTGCCAGTTCATCCGGGCTCTGGCGTCCTCTGGTCCAGGTGTCTCACGAGGTACACAGAGCCCTGAGTAGGGACTCACTCAAGATCTTCCCAGGCCACTCATCTGATGTTTCTATGGGAACCAGAGGGCAGAACTGGTCACTTCTCTGCACCCCAAGAGCTAATTTAGTGCCTGGCACCAAATGCAGTCGTACTCAACACATGTCTGGGTAGATGTAGAGATGTAGAGTGACAGAGGACTTTATGCAGGTCCTGGTGACTGTGTCTGTCTTGGGGCCTCAGGGTGTGCAGGGGCCTTGGTGTTCACTTCCCTTGCTCACTTACGAACCATCAGCCCTTCCCGTGTCTTTGGTGAATCTGACCATCTCATCTGTTTTCTTCCAAGCAAAGCCCCCTGGTTCAGCTTGAGAGACCCTCACTTGTTCATAAGGAGGCTGTCAGAAGTCTGACTAGCAAGGCCTCCTATGTCATAGTCTCTCAGAGGACATCCAGGCCACCTGGCTGTGACTTGCTCACGGTGAACTTCTCTGGCATCAGGGGCCGCATCTCTGTTTTTTCTGAGTGCACACAGGTTGTGAGTTTGATGAATCAGAGACAGGGCACCTGGGAAAGGTGGTTCGGCTCCCAGTTCTAGCGGCCGAAGGGGCTGGCCTTTGGCATCCATGGTTCCCCTGGAGGGGGTGCTTGGGAGACATCTGCACCATGATGCAGGTGAGAGGGATGGAAAGTTCTGACAGCTTCCAAGCAGACTCAGGCTGGCAGCACTTGATAGGACAGGAAAGGCACTGCTGGGCATCAGATGAGGCCAGGTGGGCTCTCCCCAGCTAGATCGGGTGATGTGTGTGTGTGGGGGGGTAACATCTGGATCCATCCTGGATTGGGAGTGGCTGAGGGAGCACAGCTGGGGGTCCATCGGGAGGTGCCAGGGTGGTGCTGATCCAGGAGTACAATGAGCTGGCCTCCTGCCTGGCCCCAAAAGGCAGCACAGCCAGCTGCTGGGACAGAGCCAGCAGGGATGGTGTGGATGAATGCGAAGTCCCAGAGCAGGGGCTGGGGCAGGCTGAGGGAGAAGGAGCAGGTGGAGGCCCTGGGCAGTGGGGTGGAGGCAGGGCTGGGCAGCAGCCCACTCTCACTCTGGTAAGGACTCTGGGGTGGGGGCTGCCTTCATGTGGAGCCCACCCAGGCAGAAGGCTGCTCCTCACCAGAGCGCTTCTCCATCAGGAAATCTGAGAAGTGCAGGGCTCAGCACTTTCGCCTCTGAGCTGCATTACAACCACATAATTGAAGCTATCTGATTGGAGGGCAGCCAAGCAGGTAGATTACAAGTGATTAAAAGTGATAGGAGGGTCTGCAACTTGAGACAGCTGGGCTGCCTCCCCCCTCCCCTTGGCTTGCCCTGGGGACCCCGCAGGCCCACGCCATGGCCTCAGCCAGCTCCTTTGCCTTCCATTAACAGGTCACCAGCCTGGCCACCGAGGACACTCCTCCACCTCCCAGATGAGGGCCGAGTCTGCCTGAAGCCAGGGACAACTAACACAGGCAGGGTCATGCCTCACGCCCTGGCACACCTGCTTCCCATGAGGATCTTTGGTGACTGGTGAGGAGGCATGCAAGGTTCCGGGTGCTGGGCGAAGACCCCTGGACCAGAGCAGCTCCCCAAAGGCAGAGGCCCTTCTGAGTTCCTCTGCCACGCCACCCCTTCTCCAGGGCTGCTCTGTCCTGTAGCAGGGGGACGGGGGGGGGGGGGGCTCCTTACCGGCACTGTCTGGGTCACGGCGATGGGCTGCGTGCTGGCCTCGGTGCCTGGCTGCTCGGGGTGCGTCTGTGCTGGTGTGTACAGGGTCATGCCGTGCTCTGGGGGTACGGGGTTCTGGCCGGAGTAGTCCTGTGTGGGGTGTGGTGGGGGTGGGGCGTACTCGGTGGGGATGCCGTTCTGAGGCGGAGGGGGGTACTGGGCAGGGGGATAGGGCTGGGCCATCGCCTCAGGCGGAGCCGTGGTGTCCTGATTGCCCTGCGGAGTGAGACAGCAAGGCCAGGTTAGAATCCTTCCCTTCCCAGGGCCTACTGGGTTGGTGCCTTCCATCCGGAAGCCTCCGTGCTAAGGACACAGTACTTTAGGGACATTTCCCAAGACCTCTCTTGGGGCTCTCCCAGAAGAAAACCAGTTCAGAGAAGGAGTGGGTACTGGGCTGGGCATCCAGGAACTTAGGTCCAGAGGGTGACCCCTGTGTGTGAGCCCGCTGGTGCTTTGGACCCGATTACTTCAGGTTATTTTTAACCCACCTAAGTTTTAGAAATTGACCACTTTAGATCATGCTAACGGTAGACCCACATGTAGTTTTGAGACACAGCAGTGCTCCTGCAAACTTTGCAGCTGGTGTCCGCCAACAGCCCCTAAAACCACTATCACCTGGACATCAGCACTGGTGATGTAGCCGCGGTGCCTCCTGGGGCCTTTATTCCAGTTCCCAGCCTCACTCAAGCCTTGGCTTTCCTGCCAAGAGCAGGGTGGGAGGTGTCACAGCCACCTGGGCTCCTAGGAGCTCACGGTATAGAAACGAAACAGCAGGGTCACGGGGCCAGGAGCCTCCTGTCCCTGTGTTAAGGCCTCCCAGAGACCCCTCCTCCTTCTCTCCAAGGCCTGTGCCCAGGGAGGGGCATTGCTGACCTCAGCTGCCCCCGGGGGCTTCTAGAGGCCAGGACCCTTGGTGCAGCCCCTATGCTGCATGAGGGCCCTGCTTCTTGGAGTGGAGTGCACTGATTCACTGTCCGCACACTGGGGAGTTATGCCAAGAGCTGGTGGAACAGATCCTCTGCCCTCGTTGGGCCTCCGGGGTGCTCATAGGGCCACTGACCTGGAGGCGCTGAGCTGTCCAGAAGACCCTGGCCACTCTTGCTGCCGTCAGTGAGCAGTGGGTGGAGGCTTGAGGGGTGCGCCTCCAGTTGTGTACCCCGTCCTCCCCTGTAGATGTGTGGTGGGGTGCAGGCCCCTCTGAGCAGTAAGCTGCACTCTCAGTGTGTGTGGTGAGAATCCCATCACCTGCCAGGTGCTGATGCCATTTCCCAGTGGAGCAGCCACCCATGGGAGAGGCCCTGGTCCAGATGTGGATGGGTCTGACACTTATGGTCAGGGGATATAGGCCAGAAACCATGTACTCACAGAGGGTGGATTTTCGAGGGAAGGACATCCTGGGACCAGCACATGGTCAGGGAGCACCTGCTAGCCTGGGACACAAAAGCAGGCTGTCCCTCCAGGATGGCTTCCTCCTGCTCCTCTCCACTCCTATCCCTCTGCCACCTCCACTCAGCACTGGGGTTGCAGGTAAAGTGGCTTCTCTGACAGTGGGGGACCTCTTGTGGACCCCGATGCTTCCCTCATGGACCAGCCCTACATACCTTAATGTGCCATCTCCTGGTCCACCTTTGCTCTCTGGCGAATACGCCTGACCCTGCTTTCCCCATGTCCTTTGCTTGGAAGAGAAGCAAATTTTCCTGGCAGATGTTTTTTGGGTGTCAGGTTGCAGCCAGGCTGTGCTGTGCTGGGAGCAAGGGACGGACTCCTGCCCCTGTGGAACTTGTATCTAGCAGGAGAGGAAAATCTAGACCGCAGCTGTCCAGATGCTGAAATACCCATGAAGGCCCCAAGTGCTCCGGGGCCCTGGCTGCCACAGGGCCCACAGGGCCGTGTGAGGGATTGGGGTCTGCCCAGATGCCTACGTCTGCCTGATCTCCACAGCCCCTGGGGCCCCTCATGCTGGGCTCTGCAGTGGGCCTATCTCAGGACCACTGCCAGAACAGACTCAAGTGGGGAGCTTCTGATGTGGGAGCTCTCTCTTCCTCTTCCTCCTTCCTCCTCCGCTACACAACTGCCAGTCTCTTCCTCTCTGCAGTGTGTCTGAAACTGGGGCATCACTTGGGGTGACGGGGACAGCTCCCTGCCTTGCTGGATGTCACTGGAACATAGCAGCCCAGAAAGCCACATCTCCCACTGTCAGCAGGCAGGCTGGGGTCCAGTAGGGGAAGGATAGACTTAGAGTGGGGAAGTGGGGGAGGGGAATGCTGGGGAAGGGTACTCAGCAGGGGTGGGGGAGAATCTGGCATCGGGGTGACCAAAGTGGAGGGATGAGGCACAGACACAGCATAGGGTGATGAGGGGCGGGCCTTGGCAGTCAGGGGAAAGATCAATTCTCTGATAAATATTTGATTAGAGCTCTCACTAACTTACAGCATCTTCCTAGCTCCCCTCTCCCAACTCCTGCAAGGCCTGAGAAAGGGTGGGCTCCCTGCCCATTTGCTTCCTTCTTGCCCAACTCCCAACCCTCCCCAGGGACCTCTCCCTGGTTCCCACTGGGGGCAGAGTGACAGCTACCAATCATACCAACTGTGGTGGTTCCCAGAAAGCCCAAAACTAAAGGGCACAGTCAGGGACCTGCAAGCAGTATGTGCCGGTTCTGAAGTGGCCTGGGGTAGGCAGGAGCATCTGTGACATCGGGCATTGCAATGAAGCAGCACCCTGGAGCACATAGTGCCCTTCGCTTTCACAGAGACTCATTTAACCCTCTGAAGTCCCACGAGGTGCACAGTGAGGTATGGGGTGTGGGGATCCTGGGACTCGGCAGACTGGTACAGGAGAGCCCAAGAGACCAGCGGAGGTGGCCTGGGAATCAAACCCATTTGGCTGCATTTCAGCACACACTGGCTCTTCCGGGAGGGCCTGTGATGGAAGAGAATGACACCTAGGCCCTAGAATGCACAGGCATGAGCCAACAGGTGGCTCTGGAAAGCATCTGTCCTCTCTGCAAAGGAGTCTCCATATGCGAGAGTCACAGCAATGTCCTGGCCAAAGGAATGCCGAGTATACCAAGCTAGTGTGGCTCAACACGTCCTGGGTGATCTGTGATGCCCGTGCCTGGCATTTCCTCCATGCCATGGTGGGGGGAGCTGAGGAAAGCCAGCCGCACCTCCCAGTGATGGATGAGCTTTAATAATGTGCCCTGCCTGGGCCCCGGCTGAGCAACTGAGGCCACCTGCAGCCCACACTGCCCGGGAGGTTCTGATATGCAGCCTTGGTAGACAGCCCTGGAGACTCCGCGGAAAGCTCAAGGGAGCACGAGTACCTGCCCCGCTGAGGGGGTGCAGCCACTGTTTGTCTCCTTCCTTTGCTTTCTTCTTCCTAAGTCTGCAGGAGTCAAGAGTCGGCAAGGATCTAGGGCTGCATGGCATCAGCTGAAGAGTCCCCTGCCAGGCGGTGGAGCTTCAGATGGCATCAAGTTGGAATAGCTCTTTAAAGTGTCTGGTTTTCCAAGGAACGGTGAATTCCCCAAACAGGGTCACCTCATTCAGCCTTTGTCTTCACATTTTTATGCTCAGCACAGTACCCTGTTGCACTTGGAGTAATCTCAGTGAATGAATAGATGAACACATGAATGGATGGATGGGTGAGCAGGCATTCTAGCTTGTATCTAGATGTCCCCCCAAAACCTCATGCAGCCATGGGTGGAGCTTTTCAGAGGTGCTGGATCTAGCGTGTATGATGCTGGGATCAAGGACGGATGCTGGCCTTGACTCATGGTGCAATGGTAGGATTAAGGCTGCCCCACCCTGCCTTAAGGGTAGGTAGCCTGGATAGGATGTTAGGACCGAAAGAGTGTTGTTGATTGTCCTTTGTTGCTTGTGGCTTCGCTTCCTCCCCACTTTGCTGTCTCCTGCCTGCCATGAACTGTCTCTCCTCTGCCTTGAAGCCAGTTGTGTATAGCCTGAAACCTCTACAAACTGTGAGTTAAATAAACCTTTCCTCCTTTAACTCTGAGTGCCTGATATTTTGTCTCAATGATGAGAAAAGACTGGGTGAGTAAATGGATGGGTATGGTTGGATGAATGGATAAATAGAAGAATGGACAGGCTGGTTGGACTAATGAATGGGTGGGTAGAAAGATGGAAGAATGGATGGGTGGACAGACAGATGATGAACAGATGAATGAGCTCAAAGACCACAATGAAGTCATTGCCCAAACTGGTAAGATCCAGCTTGACTTTCTCCACTCCATGGCCAACACTGAAGAAGAAAACCACCAAATCACCCTGGATCCCTGGCCACTCCCAGGAAGGACCCTTGGTGCTCTTCAACTTCCGCACTCTCAATGACCATTTCACTCTTCCTCATTCTACTACAGGTCCGATCTCATCCTCACTTTGGGCAGTGGCTTCATTTCCTGTCTTCTGCAGGGCACAGAGGAGAACATCTAGGTTTATCTTCTCTTCTCTACCTTCCCTCTCATTCCTGGGGAAAACTGCTCCCTGGTGCCAACGACCCCAGCTGCTTAGGGTTACAGCCTTCTCACTGATGTGTGCTCATGGCTCTGGCAATCAGCTCCCCGCATTCCAGGGTCTTTGGCAAGCAGATGGCCTGTAATCTCCCCCATGCAGTGGAAGAAAACCCTTCTGGGCCCCATAACTCCTTTCCCTACAAACCTGGCTCCTTTTTTTCCTGTGGAGTGTGGGCCGAAAGTGTAGTTGTCTACAGCTGCAGCCCCGGTTCCTTTGCCCCACTCTGTCTCAGGCCCACTTTTAATTCACTTTCTTTGGCACTGGTCCCTAAAGCCAGGGTTTGTCCGGTGCCATTTTCTACTATATTGAAAAGCCAGTGGTCAGTTTTTGGTCCAGTTCTGACAAGCCCCCCAGCAGCCCAGGACAGCTACTCTTTCAACAGATGGCTTCTTGTCCTGTCGGTGCTGCGTCACTCTATCTTGGTCCTACTGTACTGGAAGCCTCTTCCTGCCTGCTGTGTATCTCTCCAACCTTTTCACAGTGCTGGGCTCCGAGGCTGCCTTTTTCTCTGGCTCTATTTACTGTCTGAAGGTTTTCATTCAGTCTTAAAATTAAAATATCCTTTGACAGCCCCCATTCTATCTCCAACCTCACCTCTCCCCAGAAGTCCACATACCCAGCAGCAGTCTCCTCTCAGGTATCTACTACATAATTCAAGCCACACATGCCCCCAAGAGATCCTTC